CTCACCTAATGGCTACAGGACCCCCCCTAGCACACACTGAGCTCAGTGCAAAAGCTGAGATGAATTTTTTGGGCAGGGGATCCTTCTCTTGATCCAAAGTCCTGGTCAGCACATGACAAGAAAATCCCCTGATTCTAAATTGTGGGTGACCAAATATGATCTGTGAAACTTAGACCCCTGTGCACCCCAATAATTTATATGCCAGAAGAGACACTGAAGATTTGTGATACTAAATACTTTCCACTTCAACAGCCCTTTGTATCTAAGGACTTATCTACATGTGAAGTTAGTATGCTGTAAGCTAGGGTGTGAAATCAAACCGCAGCAGCTACTCCACACTAACCCGCCACATGGTCACTCTTACTGCACATTGGGGCTACGTCTACACTACAAGTTTTCTCAGCAAAAAATATGTTAATGAGGGTCTCATTTGCATGAGTTGCAATCTCATTTGCATATTTTCTGGTGATCCGTTTTCGTGCTAGGGGTTTTTGTGCAAAAACAAGACGTGTGGACATTTTCTTTTTCAACAAAAACCCCTTTTTCCATAAGATTGCTATACCTGGGCATAAGGATCTTGCGGAAAAAGAAAATGTCCGCACTGCGGCTATGTCTATACTGCACTGTTTTGTGCAAGAAATATGCAAATAAGGTGAAGCGTGGCATATCGCTGCACCTCATGTGCATAATTAATGAGTGGCCACTTTTTGCCCACGAGGCTTTTGCGCAAAAACCCTCTCTTGTGCAAAAGCTGTTCTTCCACATTTTTTTCAGGAAGAATGATTCTTGCCCAAGAGGGGAGTTTTGCGCAAAAAGGAGACGTATAGACGGCTCCTTTTGGTGCAAAAGCCTCTTGCGCAAAAAGAGGCCGCTCATTAATTATGCAAATGAGATGCGGCGATATTCCCTGATTTGCCTCAATTGCATATTTATTGCGCAAAACAGCACAATATAGACATAGCCTGCTTGGTTTTTTGCAAAAAACCCTAGCGCAAAAACGGATCAGCAGAAAATATGCAAATGAGATTGCGACTCATGCAAATGCGTCCCTCATTAGCATATTTTTTGCCAAAAGAACTCACAGTGAAGATGAAGCCTCAGTGAGCTCTTAGGCAGTTTAGCTTGATACACTTCCAAAATGCTAATAAGCACCAATACACTCTGAGCCCTGGCCTACACTAGGTAGTTATTTCAAAATAACTCCTTATTCCACGAAGAATAACGCTTATTTCGAAATAGTTATTTTGAAATAGCAGCAGTGTGGATGCTCCATTCTGCTATTTCGAAATAACTACTCCCCAGAGTCATTCACTTCTCTCACACACACACACGCATACAGGATACATCTACCCTACAGCTGGAGTAGTATTTACAACTCAGGCAAAGATACCCATACTAGCTTTGATCCAGCAAGCACACTAAAATATGGAGCACAGAGCTTATCTATTATGGAGAATCCTTATAGACAACTGCAGGTACATACTTGAGCAGCACCACTACTACCTGGCTAGCTTGTGCTCAGTAACTGCTAACTTGTGCACATCTATTTGAGCTGGAAATTATTCCTCCAGTGACAGGCAGTATAGACATAGCCACTGAATCGTTAACACACTGTCACTCTCGGTGCAAACAGGTCTGGCAATCCCTCTTTGACTCCCATACAGGCTGCCGTAATACACACAGTCACCTGTCAGCTGCGTGCTGCTGCAGGTTTGGGTTGGCAGGAGAACATGGCGATGTCCTTCTGGGCATGCACATTCCATTGGACCCTTAATACTTTTCAGGGAACAGCAGTGTCGTAGCCCTCGTGAGAAGCCCCTATGCATGAGACCGCACTAGCACCGTTAAGGCGGCTAAAGAGTTCATTTCAAACTTTGTACCTCAAGGTTCTAAGTTCAAGTTTGCCTGCTTGTGCCGAGCTCTCCAACATGGGGAGCGCTGCAGAGCTGGGATGCTGAAACTTGACCTCCCATTTTGTTTTTCCAGTTCATGAACACCCTCTGCTCAAGCCTGTGCGGTCTCCTTTGCCTTTTCAAGCTGCTCCTTGTGCTTCCAGTGACCTCCACCTGTTTAGCACGCTCCCGGTCCTGACTCATAAAACACTGGAATTCCACCTGTTCTGCAAAGCATGCCAGCAATGAGGAGCACGCTGTCCGTTAGTCTCATACTTTGCTTTCACGCTGTGCGCTCTGCAGGGCACAACTCTGCTTTAGCTTAGCACATCTCACCTAGGAAGGCATCCCAGAGTGTGGGCCGTGAGTTGTCACTGAGAACAAGCATAGCTGCAGGGTTATTTCAACGGGAAACACTTTGCTTCAAAAGAAAGTTCTTCTAGCACTTAAGAAAAAAAAACAAAATAATTTTTTTTAAAAAAAGTGCCCACAACCAATTAGTCTTATTCGAGCAGAGTGGCGAAAATGGGTTCTTTTGATCATACATACATTCACATTTGATGTTTGTTTGTATTTATTTCCATGCCCACCCCTCCCACACACTCACACACACAAAAATCATTGGCAACAAAAATCATTTCAACTCAAAAATCATTTTCAAAACATTTTAAAAAGTGCAGATTGCTTTGTTTTTTTCTTTTTTCTT